ACTTCGGGTATACTCTGCAGGTGCATATGGGTGGAGATGGCTCTCTGTACTAACGTGATAATACATAAGTTTAAGTCGAAGTAATGATCCGGTGAGTCGAGTGGAGCGCACACCCATTACTGCCTCGATTGTGGCTTCATAACATTGCGAATGTTGGGCGGAGTTGCCTACCTGGAGTTCGGATGAGAGATCAGATGAATCTATTGGTAGGGACTCTCGTTGCCGGAGTTTCTCTTTTGGGTCAACTCCGGAACTCCGGCACTAAGGTACATGGAACCAGTCAGCTTTGAATTTCACCACGTCCCCAGTTCAATCTTCTGTTTGTAAGGAAACACGCAATAGATATCCTGCTATTTTCTAAATAAAGAACTGGAAACGAATATAAGAAGGACCGTGAAGGCCAGTGGTCCTCCTCGTGCGGGTCATAATAAGTCAACGGTCTTACATCGCATCGAAGACAGCTCAATGGCTGCAGAGAAATAAATTCACCACTATTTCAGTCGACACGATAATGTATCTACCAGATCAACATAACAATTGTATCCACTCTAGCCTTCCTATAATGCAAGTGTCTATCTTCCATATGCTCTTGCTGTTCACTTAAACGCTTTCCATATGGAGTTCCAGGTTGTGATGGTTTCGTTTTAAGCTTCGGTATCTCCTTGTCTATTTTGTTGTTTGCTGTTTTCGGGTTGCTCTTCGAAGTATTCGCGATACCAACATAATCCCCAAGAACTTTCCACTCCAACTCATCTATAGTGTCCTCGGGGTCTATATACCCTTGCGTAATAACTCGTCGAACTTTCGCTTGGTAGCGGCCGATCTGATTATATGCTTCGAGAGCACTCCAATTGTATTCACATCCACCATTTTGGTGGCTGCTTGAATGCTTGCGATCTATATATCCGCTTCCTGCTATTTACATGTTGTGCTGCCTTTATGAAATAGGACTGAGCACCGCTCGTCAATGGGCCAATGTATCAAAGCATTTCAGCTGGACACAAAGACATTGCAGCAGCTCTCCACCAAAAGTGTCTCTCCAAATGCATCTAAGCCAAGAATTCTCGTATCAAGCCATACGCAATGTTTCACGACGTGGAACATGGGTGATTTCCTCAATCTTGAAAGCCCCTGCATCTGGCTGTTCTGTCAAGACGACGAAGCTAGTGGAGGAGGGTATTTGCAGGTGATGTAATGGTACAGATGGTGAAATAATGTTGCTTGCCCAAAGCCCCAAATAGCCCATGAGAACTGATTGATGACCTCTTAGAAAAGCGGAGAGAAGATGCTTTGTTCCCGTTTCCTCAATTATGTCGGCTGCTCCGGATTTCCTAATCCAGTAGGCCAATGGAGCCGATGATGGATGGAGGTGGGGCCGAGAACTCACAGCCCAGCGCTTGCTACTGACCGATAACGAAGGTGCCGGCGGTAATGTGATCGATGTGTGCTATTACCGGCCAAGAAATAAGTTAACAGTGTTTACGCATTATGTGCTACTGGGTTCAGTGTATCCTGCCTTTGAGACCATCGGGCAGACCCAAAATCTGCATCTCATACAGCGACTAAGATCATGGAGAAGCTTGGAAATTTACAGGCTCAAGGGAGGCAAATCTTGTCCCGCCCAGCGAACGGAGCATCTTGGAAGGCCTTACTTTCTGGACTTGCCTTGGCTGGCCTGGTTTTCTTCACACTGCCAGCAAGAGAGCCTTTTCATGCGAAAGGGGCCATTACTCAGGCCGAACTCTCTGCTGGACTCCAGCTTTGCGCTAAACATAACCAACACCCATTCGTTGACTACTCGTTTGCCGCTCATCGCCTCACTACACGAGACCCACAAGCACCTCTCCAAATCTTTAAGAACATCACTCTCATTAACGGAGATGGGAGTATTCAACATGATGTCCAATTAGAGATTCAAGACGGAATCATCACGTATGTCGATGAAGCTCGTGAAACGTCGCCATCAACGGCGACAATCGTTGACGTTGCTGGCCGATATGTGTCACCTGGCTTGATAGACATGCATTCTCATGTCGGACTAAGACAAGAGCCTCAAATATGGGGAAATGAAGACGTGACAGAAAGTACATTCCCCGTGACTTCATGGGCCAGGGCAATCGATGGTTTCAAACCGACCGATCAGGGTATCAAGATCCTCGCTAGCGGAGGCACAACCACTTCTCTGGTCCTGACTGGAGCTAAGAATTTGATTTCTGGAGAAGGAATGGTAATCAAGCATAAGGAAACAAAGTCCGTATGGGAAATTCAAATCGATTCGACTAGTAATGGCAGAAGTCCGAAACCTCAGCGATATCTGAAGATGGCATGTGGAGAGAACATTAAAGGCCAGTTCCAAGGTACTCTCACGGGACCTATTAGTAGACAGGGTGAGTCCGGCTTTGTGCGGTTTGCTTTCGAGGAGGCGCGGGAGCTTCTGCGTAGCCAAGACTCGTGGTGTGGACGTGCTGCCTCCAACGCGGCAAGCTTGACCACCCCGTACCCGACATCGATCAGAGTGCAAACATTGATCGACGTCTTGCGCGGAGATGTTAGTGTGCATCTACACTGCTATCAGCCGCAGGATGTCTTTTCCGAATGGGATCACGGTGACGAGTTTGGTTACAATATCACAGCCCTCCACCATATCACTCAGGCCCACGAAATGCTCGACGAGATTAAAAAACGCGGCTCGATGCTGGCTACATTTTCCGATGAGGGAGGTTTCAAAAATGAAAACTATCACTATAGCTGGTATATGCTGAAACAGGCGGCAGCAGCTGGAATCCCCATTGCTCTCACGACGGACCATCCCGCCAAGCATGGACAATTCCTTGCGTATGAAGCCCAAGTAGCTCATCACTTTCAGCTTGATGAGAAGCTAGCATTAGCTTCTCTCATGTCAGTACCCGCCAAGGCCTTGGGTCTTGACAACAGGTGAGCTCTTGCAATCATGCCTACACAGCTAAGGTCTTTGAGGCTGATAGAAGGATATAGAATCGGCTGGGTGCGTCCAGGCTATGATGCCGATCTTGTATTTTGGGATTCTCATCCCTTACGTTTGGGTGCAACCCCTCTCCAGGTCCTGATTGAAGGCGAGACTATTGTGCGTGCATCAGACAAACTCTGGGAAAGCAACTTGAAGCAGAAGAATGCATTAGCCTCCGCGCCAGAGAGTCGCACTCAAGTCAGCAATGACGAGAGGACATGCTCGAAGGGTAAAAAGAATCTGGTTCTTAGAGGAATTACAAAGAGTTTTCTCAGTGGTTTGCGAACATCAGTACTCTCCAATGCCACAGCAATCGTCCATGATGGAGTCATTCAATGCGTTGGAGGAAACGAGTGCGAAATCATGGCCGAGAGGGCCATTGGACAGGGTTTTCCTGTGATGGATCTCAAGGATGGTTATATTCTTCCTGTAAGATTTGGTAGCAGTATCTGGTGAACCTTTGCTGACGTGATAAGGGCGTTGTTTCCATGACGAAAAGTCACGGCCTCACCGAGATGGTCGAGGAACCCGACACCCAAGATGGCGCTGTTTCGGGTAGTGATCTTGCCCATGTGATCACTGCTGCAGACGGGCTGCAGTTTGGTGATCACCACGTAGCTTTCGACCATAGACGGGGGCTCACCTGCATCATCACTGCACCTGGGAGCAAGGGCTTCTTGCACGGACTCAGCACAGCATTCCGCCCCGGAGCAGCGCATGGTAGGTACAACCAAGTGTGTAGATAGTATGTGAGACTACAGCTAACAACCGATTCCCATTCAGCCCTGGATTCAGGAGCCATTATCAAGAAAGCAGCTGCACTCCAATTTTCCATCGGCGATGAAGCTAAAAGTATGGCATCCCCTGTCATCACTTATCTTCCGTAAGAAGACTGTATTAACTTGAATAGCCCCATCATTCCCGACGATCTCATCTCAAATCAGCCAGCTCCGGTCACTTCTCACCTTGTCTAGTCCACCACATGAAGCATACGTACTTGCCGCCAATGGCTCAATTCCAATTACCATTCGAACGGATAACAAGGATGTCATTGCGAAGATGATCGCTCTCAAGCGTGAGCTTCCTGCGCTCAATATCATCATCTTTGGAGGTGGCGAGGCGCATTTAGTTGCTCCTGAGCTTGCTGCCGCTGACATATCTGTCATTCTTGCTCCATTCCGGTGTAGTCAACTCACATGGGAAATTCGCAACTGCCTTCCAGGATCACCAATCACTGACGCTGCAGGTCCAGACATTCTTCTCGATGCAGGTGTGAAGCTTGGTATCGGGAGCTGGGATCACCGTGATCGCTGGGTTCCGAACACCTTGTGGGAAGCTGGTTGGCTTGTGCACGGACGAACAGAATTGTCTCAGGAGAAGGCAAGAGAGGTGGCAGTGGAAATTGTCACCAAAAACATGAGAGAAATGTTTCAACTGCCCATACGCGATGAAGCAGAATTTGTGGTATATGAGGGCGACCCACTAGAGTATGGTGCTAGCGTTGCGCTCATTGTAGAGGAAGGCGAAGTGCAGAGATGCTGGCCAGATGTAGAATGATATCATTGAGCAGTATAATGGATAAGGCGTATCGAGAATAGTCAGTCAACGGACAGATTTCTGAGATTCGATAAGCTGTTAGAACTATCTGTGAACTGCACATATACGAAAACTGAAAAGTATATCTCTAAAGTGTCAGGCGTCTCAGATAACTGGGAGTGAGATGGGAACGTCAAATGTCGGACACTTATGGCACTGGAACTTCATATCTGGGCAAGACATATAGATCACACCATAAGTTTGTCGTGTTGAATGGAAAAACTCTTTGCGCCTTTGCGCACAAAGAGCTGGTTCGATCACTTCCTCCAAACTCTATGAAACTAAACTGCAAACTCCCCTAGTCCAGCCTCGAAACAAAATGGGTTATGAAGAGACCACGATCAATCCAAACCAGCCCAGAACTAGCCAAGATATCCAACATCTTATAGAGACTGGCACGTTACACTAGATCCTTTTCTTACCAAACATATCGGAACTTGGCCTTCTGTTCACGGTCAGTTAAGTCAAAGAACTCATCTGGCTGAGCAGCCGGATCCCCAGTCGCCACGATAGTTTCAACTGGTTGGGCAGCATTCGGGTCAACATGACCATAGGTTCTGTCCCGCTTTTGGTTCTCCCATCTCAGATACAAAACCAGAAGGGGTGGAAGGACGATCAGAAGCGCAAAGCAAGAGAATGCAGCCTTGAATGCGGTAGCGTATCGCGGAGCCTCACTACTAACAAACAGCTGCGGAGCAGCGACCTGACCAGTACAGAAGGCAATGAACAGCATGGCGGAAGCTGTGGCCTTCTTCGTTGTTCCAGACAAGTTCGCAGTCGCCATAGACCAGGACATGATGCTGATAATACTGTGCGTCTGAATGATGTAGTAGGATCCAAGCCGCCCCCCCTTATTGCTTGATGGGAGGGTGTATAGAAGTACTGCACCAATGAGGGAAGGGATCTGCGTAACGGCCATGACGATCCAACGAGAGTTGTTGAAACGAGAACATACAGCACCACCAACAAGAATTGTGATTCCTTGGATGACTCCCAGCGGCATCTGAAGAAGGGTCGTGTTGATTGCAGAGTACCCAAACCCTTTTATAACAATGTTACCAAAGCTTGCAACACCACCGGATGGCACATTTGTCAAGAATTGGATAATCACAAGAAACCAGACTTGGGGATCCAGCAGACACTCTCGGAACTGATACCACTTCCAGTGGTGATTCATGATACCAGTCCTGTTCTCACGGACGCGCTCTAGGGCCAAGGCACGGTCACGTTCCGAGAGCCAGCGGGCTGACATGGGGTTATCAGGAATTACGAAGAAGAGCACAATGCCGTAAACAATCGTAACGGAACCGAATATGATGAAGTACTGGGAATTATAATCAGTAAATTTCTTCGTAAAAGAACAAAGAAGCAGCTTGGATCATGGAAATGCAAACCTCTCATTGTGAAAGGGAATAAAGACGTGTGTGTCGGGAAAATGAAAGTCATAAATTACTTACCCAGATCCAGTTACCCACTTCCAGACTTGAATTAATATGTCCAACACCATATCCAATGATGCCGCCAAGAACTTGGCCGACGGCGTTTCCCATAAACCAATAGCCTACTCGTGCTGGTTGTTCGGATCTCTTGTACCATTGTGAGGTCATGAGCATGAAAGATGGGTTTATGACCGATTCAAAGACACCAAGAATGGCTCGCACAGTCATGATTGAGGCGAATGAGCGACAAGCTGCAGTTGTCATCAGAACCGCTCCCCAGAGAATCACGCTGACAGAGATGAAGCGGCCAATGGGAAACCATTGCAGGCAACGGGACACAAGAGGTTGCGATACCAAGTATGCTGCGGGCTGAGATTAGTCCTTCCGTTGATATCAATTAATCTGCATGTAGGACGTACTTAGATAGAACACAGATCCACTCGCCCAACTGTACTGATTGCCGACCAGACGCTATGAGAGACATTAGCTTCCGGCAAGATGTGAGGCTCGTCCTCTTGGGCTTGTGGCTTACATTATCCTCGCGCAAGTCATAATTGGCCGAGTTAGACAATGCATTTTTATCCATGAAATTCAAGGTGTATGTGATTAGCATCTTAGGAAGGTATTAGCGATCAACATGTCTGATAGTCAAGCACAAGGAGCATACCAAAGGCATCAAGAAACGGTCTATCTTTCGAAGAATGCGCTTATCTTCCTCCGGTGTGATGGCAGTGATACCGTGCGCTTGGACAAAAGCCAAAGCATCATCGGCATCGAGTTTGTGGTGATATGTCTTTTCAACTTGCTGCTCATCAACCAGAACATCTTGAGCTACGGCAATCTTGTTCTCACTCGCCACTGCAGCGTCCTGAGACGTGACTGGGGAAACACCCATCCTTCTAAGTTGACCAGGTGAAAACAGCAAAACTCAAAATGAATGCGTGAAGACAAACAAAAGACTTGATGGCATCCTTAGAGAGATCGCATTGAACTTATCCAGTTGATGAGGAGTGCTACCCCCGCCGCCAAGTGAAGGCTGGTGGCAGACGATGTCCGGATTTCCGGTCTCTTATCACGCGACACCCCACAACCATGCCCAGGGTTTGGTTATCTTCACCTGGGGCTGATATGATCTGTCGATAGTTGGTGCGGTGATACACCGTTCTGAGGTGATGTTGCGGCTAAGGGTGGAGTCAGTTCACAACTAGGTTATCAAGTTATCTTACACCAACTTAGACGCTTGTCGGCTATTAATTCTTACCGAATTCGGCAAGTAAACCTTGCTTCCGACGCGATCACTCGCTAGCCCCGCACTACAAGGACGAAAAGAGATGTGACTAGTCGTGCCGACAACGGGTTCGATATTAAATGTCTTTCGTCGGACTGCGTTGTCATAAACGACAGTGAGACCTGGTTGGTTGATCTTATGGGCAACCCCGAGCGATGGAAAACGACCAGTGACCCATATTTAAGAGATGCACTTAGCTATGGGTTCGGTAAGGTAGCAGAGCCAGTTACTGGTTTTGGATCTGAGTGGATGCAAACCATTAAGATAGAAAAGCCAAGGATTTATCTTCTCTCTAAGTGTACGTATGCTTGGAGAAAGAACTAACGCAACTATCTCCTGTGCCGCCAAGCCATATCGACATGCATAACCAAACTATGCGAATTGTCCCCGAGCGTAGTGGGTCGAGTGACAGCCCAACCCCGACTTCCAGAACGAATGTGTACTACGAGCACATCCGCGTGAGCGGCTTGCCGCGAGAGCGCGGAAGGCAATATGGGAAACAGGCGGCGGACAAGATTCGACGGAACATCAAACATTATCTCCGACCAGGCCAGTTGCCACCATGGGAGCGGACAGTCGGGTATATCAACAATATCTATGTCCCCGGGCTCAAGAAGCATTTCCCTTCGGCTTTGGCAGAAATGCAAGGGATTGCCGAGGGGGCGGGCGTCTCAGTGGAGGAGATCATAATGCTCAACGCGAGGTATGATCTTTCCCGGGCCCCAGGTGGTTCGCGATATCGCCCGCCACCCGAGAAACAGGGCTTCATGTCAATTCCTGTCCGGAATTCAGTAACACTACCGTCTGTACTCTCTAGTAACACCAACAATTTCTGCGATTGGGATGACTTTGATAACGAGTGCACGAGCTGTGCTTTCTGGCAAGGAGCCACCAAGGATGGTGCAGTATATACCGCCCAAAACTGGGACATCTCTTCTCACTTATACTTTGATGATCTCGTCATACTGCTAGAGATCCATCCAGATCCCTCAGAAGGTATTCCCAGCATGTTTTTGGTCACCGAAGCCGGCCAGTTGGGTCGCTCAGGCATGAACTCGGCAGGTCTTGGTTTGACGTCGAACTCACTCAACTCCACGGCGGACTACTTTCCTGAAGATGAAACACCTTGCTTGCCTGTTTCTGTCCTCAGGCGTATGTTTCTACAGGAAAAGTCGTTCCCGAAAGGCCTCCAGGCAGTATATAACGCACCTCGACATGTCTCCAACAACTTGACGCTTTCGACTGCAGAAGGGTACGCACTATGCATGGAATTGACGCCAAATGAAGCCTTTGTTCTCACACCATCAGAAACCGACAACCACCTGATTCACTCGAATCACTTCCTCAGTCCCGCTATTCACGCCCGTACAGACATTCGGGATTCATATGCTGGCGGCAGTAGCTGGTTCCGTCATGTGCGCCTTGCGAAAGGCATTCAGCCGTTTTTGGACGGTAGTGTTGATGATAATGTCCTCACCAAGGCATTTGCGGACCATTTGGGTTACCCGCAGAGTCTCTGCCAGCACGTCGACAACTCCGGGGGTTCCGGTATTCCGGGATATCCATTCAAAAAGAGCATGACAGTCGTGTGTGTAGTCTATGACGTGACCCACAAGGTCGTCACGGTTTGTAAAGGCCCGCCTTGCCAAGGCATATTTGAGAAGTTCAGGCTAGATAGTCCATGAACAAATAGTGTATAGCCCTTTAATGCAATTCCTCATGGAAGATGGAGATATCAGTATGCCAATCAAGTTTTTGAATGCTATCACACGATGAAGGGCCCGCCCATACTATCCATGAGCGCTGTGATGTCGTATGAGCCCTTTACGTCTTTGCGAAACTTGATCACCCGCTCCAAGAGCAGTCTTGTCTTGCGCATATTGGGGCCCCAAGCCTCTGCCTGCGCAAAAGCACCCAGAACCCATGATTGATAAATCGGATCACTCGTCTCTATCCCAGCTTGAAACAATATATGAGGCCATATAGCTTGTGGTGAGTTTGATCGAGACAGAGTGACATGCCTGGATAATCGAATGATCTTAGCGGCGCAATCCTTAGAGTCAGGGAAGAGCGTTGAATTTGCGCTAGCGTCTATGGAATTCGGAGTTGATGTTGGTTGGTGGCGGAGATACGTGATTACCCCGGCGTAATATGTTGCCAGCAATTGCATCCAGTTGTATTCGAGAGTGCTGATCGCAATGGAGACATCCATATCTCCATTCGCAACTCTCAGGGCCAGTTTCGCAGCTGGCAAAGAATCTTGCTCAACCTCTCTCTGTACGGCTTCAAGGCTTGAAAAGAGTGCCGTCCAGGTCGCCTCTCGTTCGATGCTGTCCTCCTGCCAACGGCCAAGAAGCCCACATGAGCCTCGAACAATATTCAGGCGTAAAGCCAGTCTTAGACAAGCCTTCAGTTCCCTGCTGCCAAGCTCGTTCGGCGCTCCAAAGTGATCTACTGATGGCCCTCTTTCGTGGGTATCAATGATTTCATAGATTGAGGGGTGCATCTTCAGACAACGAAGGAGTCGACATGTGTTTCCAAACATAGCAGCTCTTCCATCGTAAGCACTTAGCCAAATGAGTACGCGCACAACAACGGGACCGAGCCTGTCCTTGATCGCGGAAACATGATAGTTTTCAAAGACAACTTCGACGATATCGGCGACGTAGCTCAACAGGCGCATAAATCTCTCAACACCTCGAGCACTGAACAGCTCATATTGTAACAAAAACCAGACTGTCACCAATGTCAGATCCACATGTTCAGCAGCCTCAGAATCCTCGAAGAGGAGGGCCGACGCTCGCTGATATCTCGACTCTGCGTCTCTTGTGGATGTTGACTTGACGTGACTTAGGTGTAAAGCTGCCCAAGCTAGTATTGCCTCGTACAACGGCGCATGTGTGAGACCCATGTTTGTGAAGATGTGACAGTAGATATTGTCGGAAGGAGAACTTCGCAGTTTCACGAATTGAACCATAGTACTTAGGAAGTGTTGGAGAGGTTCCGTGTCCTCGGGCCGTATGGATACCATGGGCTTCGGTAAGGCAGACCGATGAGATATCTCTGGCTCTGGCGGAGGAGTGGCCGCAGGAGGAGTGACGTCAACGATGGACTCATCAGCTGTATTCAGATCTGTATTTCCAAGACCACTGCCAAATCCAGCACCAAAGTCATCGAATGCCGGCATGCTGTCCCACAGCATTGCCATGTCTGTCTGCATGCTGAAGGTATCTACTAGATCTGACGTGCTTCTTGTAACAGTCATACTTCCTTCTGGTCCTCCGCCATGGCCGGCAAGTTGCATCGATTGAGCGCAAATCGACATGAATGCGTCGTTAGGCGGTGAGTCAGAGCCGCTCCCTGTTGACCAGAGTACTGACAAAGGTGGAGAGTTAGTGAACGGCTGAAATGACCGCTCAACAGGTGATTCGGTGAGCTGAGCCTCGTTTTGATCAGGGGAAGCTGGCGATGCCGTCTCGGCTTCTTGTCGAAGCGCAGAATCTCCTTCGCGGCTTCTCACGGCACTCTGAGCTCCCTGGGGCTTGAACCTATCTGCGTCTACGAAGCGTACCCGAAATCTTGGGTGGCGTGTCCGATCTGTCTTGCGGCTTGTCCTCGCTGGCTTATCAGGCTCAGCGTAGGCACAGGAGAGATGCAATCTGGTGCAGGCGCCACAGACTGGATGCTGTTCGTCACAGCGAACCTTGCGACCACGACAAGTTGCGCATCCTTTCTTTCATTGTCAGCGAGAGGCTCTAAGATGATACATGTCTCGATGCTGCGTTTGAATGAAGCTGTCAAATCTTACCTGTTCTGGATCTTCGGACCTTGGCGTTCTCCATGAGACCAACAGTCGTCCTCCTAGACTGTAGGCTCGTCATCAGGTGGTCAAGAGTGTGTTTGAAATGTTGATCACAGCGTGCGGGGATGGACCGCGCTAGATTACAGGGCTCTGAATCCGCTGGGTAAACACTCCATACAGTGTGGGACAGTGCAATCCTCGATCGCCGCATTTCAGGCCATGAAATGTGGTTCAGACACTTGATTACGCCGGTGCCGAGGCTTGGGCGTAGCCAGGCACGGCAGCTTCTGGCATGACTCGCTGGATCTTCTGCCATTGCGCCGGATTCGCTTACTATTGAACATTGGAAGTGGACGACTCGTCCGTAAAGCCTGATAGTCTTCGCGCGTCGTGCTTCGTGAGAAACACGAAACGTATTATGTTGATAAAGCTTTTAGAGACCCCAATGCTATATCTTCTATATGAGGGAAAGGTTCTTATTATAGAATCATTAGAGCGGTATTCGTTCTAGAGAGTCAAGCCAGATCAACTCCGAGCCCTTTATGCCACCTTGTTGGCCTGTTAAACCTTGATGGCCAACGAGGACCCGTAGCCACACTTTTCAATACAAGAATTAGAGACTTGACTCAATTCTCAATACAGACTAGCCTTCTCAACTTTCATAGCTATAGTCATGACTTAGTCAACGCTACAGTATGTCCCATAATAGAGCCTTGACCTTGTTGCAATAACTTTTTTCAAAGCCCGCCGCATGAGTCTAGGTGTAGAACTCGAGAGGCATGCGTTTGTCATTTCGAAATTTAGG